TATATATATATATATATATATAATTGATTATTTGCCTGTTTCACGATCGACAACGACGCCACCTGCTTCGGAAATAATTAACGATGCTGCGGCGATATCCCAAGTAGAGATACCTGGCCCCTCAATATAATAAGCCTCGACAATTCCCATTGCAACGTAGCATAACGTCAATGCCGCCACACCAAGTGTGCGAATGCTATAAACAGAAATAAATCTAGATAATGAGACTGAGAGAAATAAATCTAGATAATGAGACGCGTGCAAACACAGCGATGAAAAAGAATTTATTTGTTTGACGGGTTTTTGTACGAAACATCGTAACTTGATTGCAGACATACAAGAGAAAACAAAGCAGTCTTTGATCTTCTGTTTGATTCTAGATTTTTATGCTAGTCACATTATAAACATAAAAATTCTTTTTTTCAAATAATGAGTTAGATAAGTGCGTTGATTGTATCTTTATAACAGAGTTTGAGCAAACAATGAGGTTTATTGACGAGGATTTATTTAGTATAAAAATATAAAGCAGATATAAAGATACGAAATAAGAGTGCAACTTACAAAGTATAACTACGAATTAGAAAGAAAGTTAAATACCGGAGATCTTACCCTTGAGCTTCTAGAACGATTGCTCGTATTCTTTCAATAGTTTTTTCTCTCATGTGATCCACTTTTATGAAACCACTTTCCATGCAGACCAAAGCTTTCGACAAATCTGCAAGCATATTTTTCAATATCGTAGACTTTGAAAAATCTGTATATGAAATAAAATCTAGCTTCTATACTATCATGCAGAATTTCTCGTTTGCCAATATTAAGATTTGGTTAAATGATTTATTTTAATACATAGAGCCATGGTAGAACAACAAATCTTTTGTAACAATATATCATCTTACTATATTAAGATTTATTAAATAAAAATTTTAATTTACCTTGAACATTAGACACCTTTATAGGTTTGTTGTTTAAAAACGCTCCCCGACCTTTCCTCGCTGTGAACAATTGTTCCAGAACAGGGTTGTAAACGATGCCAATCACCATTTCTTTCTTAATCGACAAACCGATTACAACGCAAGTGTGAGGGAATCCATGAATAAAGTTGGTAGTGCCATCGATTGGATCAATAATCCACGTGGGATCATCGGTCAGCTCTGGAAGCTCTTTTCCAGTCGATTCTTCACCGATAAATCTGATATCAAGTTTTCCATATATTTTTCTCTCTCTTTACATGCAGCAAAAGAATTTCAAATAAATATATTACTTATGGTTAGGGAACTTTGCTTTTAGTTGACCAATAACCACGTCCTCTATCTTTCGATCATATTCTGTTACCAAGTCCCAATTGCCCAACTTCTCGTCTACTTTCTTCGCACCGTTGATAGCTGCTTTGAGTATCTTTGATAGAATATTGTGAAAATTAATAACTTTCATACGCAGAGTGTTTAGCTGAAGATTGATCCGTTTCTCTTGTAAAAATTTTATGTTAAGCATTAGAAAGAACTGGTCGCTAGATTTGAAGAATTGTCTACATAGGAAACGACCAATGTGTGCGTCACTTTGATTCACTGTATTTTCCTGATTCCGTAGCAGGGAATTTCTATCTTTCCTATTGCTCATTTTTTTCCGTGTATCGAATAGCGTACTGTGTATTTAAGTGTCAGAAAACTATAATCGTGAATTTACGAGTAGATACAAAGAATATGTCAAATATAATTCTCTCTCTTTTTTTTAAAGATTTTCTATCGATTAGCTTAGAAACAACAAATTTCTTCGGTGAAATAGTGTGGTGACATTCTAATTGATCAATGCAATATATACCTACTTCGCAGGATCTTTTTCTTATGTAAAAGGAATTGGTAGCCCAAAAATTTTTTTATTTCTTAGACGATGTTTATTCATTCTATTCGAATTAAACATTTCCTTTGATAGTTCAATCTAAATCAATTTTTTACACATGTTGTCATGGTGACATTTCAACGACTAGCGATTAAATAGGAATGTATTGTTGAATTTTTCCACGAATGGCGAAGTATTTGCACTGTCATTTCCAAAATTCTAACATTGTTCACCGCGATGCAGGAAACTAGACACTTTCAAAACTTACGATTTGAAGTGTCTCTTTCATTCTCGCTTCTGTTCTGTTTTTAACAATCACAATGCATCACTTGTTAAGATAAGTAAAATGCGAAAGTATGCAAAAATACGGAATACGAATAAAAATCAGTGAGACAATATAAACCTAATTCAAGATATTGATATCAGCACACGTCATTTATTGTATTATTTATTGTATTATACATGCGTTCTTACTTGCGCGGCATCGTGAGTTAACTTGATCGCGAACTCGTAGTACACATCTTCCGCGTAGCGTGCCATCTCCTCAGATTTTCCCAGTGAATGGTGAACAGGAACGAGATCCTTCACGTGAAAACGTATCAGCGGGTACTGCGTTGGGTGCAATAGCATCGCGTACTTTTTATTCCTGATCGGCTTAGAACGTGGTGTTGGGAAAAAAGAAAAAAAATTATTCAAGGATGACTCGTATTGATTCGTGCTTCCCCATTGCTAGAACTATGATTTTGGAAGCATGTTTTCCACGTAGACGGATATTTCTTCGAACAAGATAGCGACGTTTACATTGGGATTTTTGTTAATAGCTGTTTGAATAAAAATTCGTGATAGCTCCTACTTGTTAGAGTGATCCGTAACGATTCATTTGAGATAAAATTTTGAAATGGCTTTTTAATGACAATACTTATCGTCTTACTTTAGTACTAACAGTACTTTTTATCAATACCTATTATTATTATAAATAATATTAACAAATAATATTAATAATACCTTCTTTCTTTTTTTTAGAGGCTTCTACGTTTTAAAATATTGAAGTACTTTCTGGAAGCTTGAAATCTTGTGTATGTTATGTTAATTTATGAGATTGACATTAGGCTGTTCGTGTTAGGAATGTTAGATATAAATTAATCACTGTGAAATATAAATTTTTGTAATTTAAATTACATTATTTAATTGAAGTATAATTTGATAAATCAAAAAAAAAGATGATTTAATTGTGCAATAATTGTTACATAATAATTTGCGAGTTTTCTTTTTTTTTTTGTTTTTCTCTGTACAAGATTCATTTTACTCTGTAATTTTCATTCACGTTTTATTACAAAAAGATTCGTATGCGAGCTCATTATTTATGGAAACATCATTCTCAGGTATGAAAGGGCGGAGATTATTATTAAATGCAGTTAGCAATTTGCCAGATGATTTTATTGCAGCGAGACAACAGGCGTATAAAAGTATATTATAAAAGACTGTGCCAAGGTAAATCACCGGGACTCGATTACACTTTCACACTATGATGCTGATTGCGACTTTTATTTCGCAATTTTCTTTTCGCATGAAGTACGATAAAACGACTTTTAATATTCGATGAAATCTTTAACATAATTTGAACTTTGAAGTTTAGTAATCACTTTCACATCCTCGAATGTGGACAAGTTTTTCAACGATAGAGAGATAGCACAGTGGATGTAGTAGAATTAAATACATTATCGTTTATTTGTTTCGTGGCTTTTTACACGTTATCTTGATTCAAATTTGAAGTTTCAACTCGTTGATAACATTCGAGTTTTAATAAAAACGTGACATCTGTTGCGTTTAATAATAGAGCCAGGTAATAGCTAAAGGTATCACATATTACATCCTTGGGATTTCCAGATTTTTTTAATTGTTCAACTTGGTCTATCTTTTCTTTTCAATCGTTTCTTTTTTTTATGCAAAATGCAGTCGTTTTCTTTTTTAAAATATATTTCAGATATATTGATGTGTTTAAAAACGATTTCCAAGTAATGAAGAACCAATGAAAATAGGAAAATAACTTCTTCTTATCGCATGTTTTTCCATCTTGTAATATTCATTCGACCATGAAATTTCGCAACCATAATTTGAAAAACCTATGAATCATCACTACACTTCCTTGATCAACCTTCAGCTCTTCTTTTTTTTTTTGCATACCTATGGATATCTGGTAATGTTCCAATCCGAACAGGATACGCACGCGGAGGCTCGACTTAATCTATAATTGTTCCGTTTTTTACACATTACATATTGACGCACCTCCGTCTATTAACGCTAATGTTCCTCCAATTGTTAATTACATTGTTTTCCAAGACGTTATTTAAATCTCCCGGGATTCTTATCTGACGAGAGTTGCAACATCGAACGAAACATCCATTTTATGGGTGTGAAATAATTACAGGAACGAGTATATACGTCTAATTCTAAAAAAATAAGAATAATATGTAATATCAGTGTTTTTGCGTTTCGATAATTTTATATTGAGTTTTTATAAAATTTTCGTTAATGTTCGACTCGATTGTTATTTTTAGATCATATCACCCTATTTTATTTTCATTTGTATTGAGATTAATATTAAACTATTCTTGGTTGTTCAAAATTTTCGCTTTTAACGCTGTTCTCTTTTAACTCTTCTTCTCACAAATCATTTCATTTACCTTTTGTCTCTCGACGACGCTTGTAGTTGATTCGCAATATTTTAACAACAATTTCTTAACACGCATACGCGTCGCATTTTCCTGCACATCGATCTGTTTTTGAAAAAATGTTCTTTCAGTTAGAAAAGGAGAGGTACTAATGGCTGAGCAGAATTATTAGAAATACAACGATACTTTTATTCAATATATAAAGACCAGAGAGTATAAGAATCAAGTTGACTCTCCTGTGTCTGAAACTTGATCACACTTTGGTCAATCTCTTCCTCATTGTTTTTAGATCAGTGTCAACGATCAGTTGCTTTATTTCCATTGCTAGCGTCTCATTTGCTGCAGCAATTGTTCTTGGTTTCATCACATTGTATTCGTCTTCTGTAACAAAATTTACGCTCTCTTATTTATACTATTAATAAAAATTCAAAAGATATCTTTATTTCTATTCGTTGAAAATATTAAAGACGACAAAAGTAACAATCAACATTGCGTGTATTAGCTAACGCACCTTTAGTAGCAATTACCGTGCCACCTGCTTCACGAACGATCAACACTCCCGCTGCTATGTCCCAAGATTGAAGAGGATCCATTTGTAGGCAATCCACCGCACCTCTTGCTACATATGCCAGGCCCATCGCAGCTGATCCCAAAAATCTCACTCTAAACATCGAACGATTGGCCATTTGAAATAAATTCTAACCTTTGTTTCATGATTTATCGATCCGTTGATTCTCCGTTTCTTCCTCGATCCTCCAATTATCTATCCTTCAAATTCAAATCAGAACACTCACCCTCGTGTAATATTAAAATAGGCTTCCAACCTTCCCAATCTGATATCCCGATCCCTTGCACGACTGCGAAGAGAGATCAACTCGACCTCCATTATAGATTTTTTCAGCTCTGTAAAAGATAACTACCTTAGAGGTTATTTTCATACATATGTACATTCATTTGTATATTTACTCATAGTAATTATTACCATCTCACAAGTTAATAATTATATTTATTGTCATACAAAAAAAAAAAAAAGAAAAAGAAAACGAGGAATTGCTCTTATAGAATGTAGGAATCTTTTTTCAAACGCTTGAAGTTCATACTATTACCGGTAGTGCACGTGGTTTTAATAGGCTTGTCGTTCAAAAACGCGCCTTGTCCTTTAATTGCAGTATACAATTCTGAAGTGATTGGATTATAAATAATTCCTATTACGAGTTCCTTGCAAATTGCCAGAGCTACGGAAATACAGGTGTTTGGATTTCCATTTATATAATTCACAGTCCCATCTATGGGATCCATGATCCATGTAGGTTTGTCTGTTAACACTGGTACCTCTTTGGTGCCAGCCACAGTTTCCTCTCCGATGAATCTGTTTTGAAATGTATCGTTTTCGTTAAAACATATTTATCATAGTGATTTGGTTACATGCATTTGCGTTACGTTCGCAAATGATTATAATTGAATTAATATTCGTTTGATCGATCGGCATTGTTTACTCACTCGTGATCTGGAAATTTTTCTTTCAGACCTTTTGTCAGCACATCTTCGATTTTTTTATCATAATCCGTAACAAGGTCCCAGTCGTACTCTTTAGTTTCTACGATTTTATCTCCTTCGAAACCACATTTAAATATCTAGAAAGAAAATTAAAAAAAAGAAAAAAACAGATAAAAATTATCTGATAAGTGATGATAAGTAAAGACAAATACAGTAAACCAGCCTACTAAGTTTCTTTTTGCATTCAAGTTGATTGATATTATACCGATATTATTACTGATATTATATTCCTCGAAAAATTCGTTTTCTTGCCGTTTAGAAAATCGATGGGTCCGATTCTTCTGCGATTGATCTTAACAATTTTGTTTTCTCCTTTTTTTTTCTATTTCTTTTCGACACAAATCAACGTCAACGTGAACGTTTTACTACACGATAGACTCGATGGATACTGGTCGGAAAAAAATTGTATAATGAGCCATCTGTTTTTCAAATAACTGAAACACTTAAAGAAACGTACTGTGTCGTCGGGATAGGTCGATACTTTTTGAAAATTTTTATTTCAAAGGGAATGTCAGTATTATATTATTTATCGCGTTGCGCTCTCTATTATCCACAAAAATTTCACCGAAATAAGGAAGAATAATTGCGACTTGACTCACTTCGCCTGCCTTCAAGGTTAAGTCCTTGGCGTGCTCGAAGTAATTTTTAATATCCAGCTCGTTCGACATGGTCACCGATCCTGAGGCTTTCGACAAAACGACTGATCGGTAGAACGCACGGACCGCGTGCCGGGTTCCCCTTATCTCTAACATCAAAGATACAGAATCGTACAAACGGCGTAAATATTTGAACCTCAACATTTGAAGGAGGAACCTCCTTATCCGAAATGCCACATTTTCGCCTCAAATGTAAACTTGAAGTTTGCAATTCGATCACGGTCACATTTTTGTTTGAGGCAGATTTGCTCGATCGCAACGGGAAATATATTCGATAGAGTCAGCGTACAAAAATGTATTGTTACGTTCCTATTTTCTACGTTCTCTGGCGACATTGAATTTCGTTTCTACACGATTAGTTATTCATATAATTATTCATGCTTTCAGATGCACGTAACAACAACGTAATTGTTGCAAACGATACCGATAACGTATCGCTTGCAAACAGCAAATGTTACTGCTAATTTTAAAAATTGTTACGATTAGCAATATGAAGGCTGTCAATTAGTATTTATCATCGTTATTGTATTGTAGTGTTCCAGTCTAATATCTCGCGCGAGACGCTCGTTAGATCGTGCGTGATCGCATGCAATAATTTAAATCAAGTTTTTATTAAGAGTTACGTCACAAGATCTTGGTCTTCGGTTTCAGTCCCGATGTTGTTCCGCTTTTAAATTACCTGAATATCTCGAATTGTCTAAATAATA